AACATGGCTGAACTAGTGACCAAGGCACTTTCCAGACATTTTTGTCACAGTGAATTATTTTCTCTTTTAATCAAAATAGAATTTTCTATGTCAAAATCGTGGTCAGTTTTGTTATGGCGAACAACCAAAGTATTTTGTGCATTGTTTTTTAAAATGTCCCTTTTGTTTTCATATAGTCTTTTGTTTAAACTTCTTGAAGTTTCTTCAATGTGTTCAATCTGGCAATTCCGGCACTTTATAGAGTAAATTCCTCCTTCAAGTTTTGCCTTGTAGTTTTGATTTTCATTGATGTAGCTTTGTTTTAAATGTAGCTGTGACAAATTTTATGTTGAGTTTATATAATTTTTTTTTGTAGAAGTTGTGATAGATTTAGTTGGTAGAATAATATTTTTTTGGATTCACTAGGTTTGGCAGGAAGGACTGCTCTTCTATTTAGGAATATTTTATGAGCCTTTTGTTTCACACTGTATATAAAATAGTGCATTGAAGAGTCTTGAATGTATTTTCAATATATTTCTCCACTTTGTGTAAATATTGAGGGATGCAAATTCTGACTGCTCTTACATAGAATCCAATGATTATTTTGGATTATATTTTGTTGTTATGATGGGAATAGAAGTTTATGAGGTCATTTTTATTGGTTGATTTTCAGTGGACACTAGGTTTTAGGCTACTATCATATCAGGGTATCATGATATCTAAGAAATGTAAAATATTGTTTTTTTCTATTTTGTATATGAATTCTATTTTGTGTTTGTCTATGTTCAGTTTATTTACAAGATCCAGTAAGTAAACATCATCAATCATATCCCTGTGATATTAAATTCCCTAAATTAAAAATATACTAATGTTACGTTGACTTTATATTAACATTAATACAGCATAATTGCATATTAAGATTTTTGTTTGTTTTTTCTGTATATTTTTCTTCATATATGTATATATATGTGTGCATGTATATGTGTATATATGCGTGTATGTATATGTGTATAGATATGTGTATATATATATATATATATATATATATATATATATATATATATATATATATATATATTTTAATTATTTTAAAAAAAAATATGATTCCATCACTAAATAAGAGGTCTCATGTTTCAAAAGCAGAATTTAAATAGTTCAATTTAATTATATAAAAGGACCTGAAAATAAACTTACTTACTCAGTAAAATAATGTGCTCAAAGCTTAGATTGCCTAGACCAAGCAAAAAACATTTACCAATGTTAAATCGTATGAAAGGACGGCTTCACACACACATGACCTTCAGATGACTTAAATGGCCTATATATATATGTGTGTGTGTGTGTGTGTGTGTGTGTGTGTGTAGAGAGAGAGAGAGAGAGAGAGACCAAGATACTTATACACATATATAAATTTAGTATGCACGTACCTATTTATACTTATATATAAGCAAAGACTGTAATGTATGTACATCATTTGATTATATGTATCTACCCATATATTTATCTATCTTTCTATATAATTTTATTTAAGCACATAGACATTTATATATATATATATATATATATATCACATGCACTGAGGTATTTAGTCTATACCTACATCCTAAATATTTCTCTGTCATTTAGTCTGATGGATGTTACTCATATAATGAGCCCTCATCTACCTACATTAAAAATATGCATTTTTACCTGATTCTATCAATTTAATTTCTTTTTTGAAAGATTTCTTTCGCTGTTCTGAATGAATTGGTAATATCCTGCAAAAAGTTATCTTGTTTTTCCATTTTTAAATATTTTAATGAACAATTGCTTAGGGGAAAAATTATCAAATTTTCCCACCACCTCTGCAAAATCTGAATAAATATGCAAAATACTCCTGCAATTCTTTTTTTTAGAGAATCACTGATTTTTGCACAATACCAAAATTTGCCTGAATCTACAGAGTAATTCCATTTAATACAGAATTTCAAGACCTTGTGTATCTTTTCACTCTTTGTACTTGAAGTAGTTCCATAATGGATTGAATTTACTGTTTATATATGTGTATATCTAACTATCTATCTCTGTACACATGTACATGTTTATTTGTGTGGATGGATGCTGTAGAAAAGGAGTGTACAAAAATGATAAATTATACAGATATTAGGTTGGCCATAAAAATTGTTCTGTGTGTTAGATGATATAAGAAACATTTCATTTTAACTTTATTCAAAACAATCTATTTTGATTGTAACAGCTGACATCATAATGCATTTTTGAAAAATTCTCAAAATAAGGAATATTGAGTCAATGAGTCTAAGTATGCACTGCCTGACCATGGATTGAACACACAATTACTATATCACCAAATTCATGAACCAATACTTTAATCTACTAAATCATTGTCCCATGTGTATTGGACTTAGTGGAAATGGGACAAGCAATAATTGACTAGTACTCTGTACTAGTGTGCTTAGGTCGATGTCTGGTATTAGGTTTCTACCATATGTGTAGCATTTTGCATTAAGTCCATAAAGTAAAATGTTGCTCTCTTCTATATGTTTTGCTGTGTTTCACTGGATTTTACTTAGGTGTTTTAAAATAAAGAGGGAGGGTGAATATATATGCACTCAACACTTTTCAGATTGTCATGGGTCCTTACCTATAACTACAGAATGAACTCTTCCTAACACTATGTATACTACGCCTCTCAAGAGAGAGGGATGAATCGAGTCGAGCTGATAGTAGTTCACTCCAAACCAGACTGACAGTCATACTAACACCTTCCACATCTTGTATTATTATTTCGTGTAATATACCTTCATTATTTCTACTCTTGTGTTCATGTTGTTCTTCCTTGGTCTTAACCTGGACCATAACATAGATTTTTATTTGAAAGTAATTATGAAAGTTGGCTCATAGTGTCATGCCAGAAAATAAATACAGTTGCCATACCTAATCTGGCACTCCTACTATATATATCTTGATATTCTTGACAAAATTTAAAAGAAAGGTCTGTAATGCAATACTTTGCTGCTTAATCATAGTGAAAATGATACTGAAAGAAACTGTTACAGGCAATGAAAAGTGGATACTTTACAAGAATGTAAAATGCAATAGATTACAGGGCAAGTCTAATGAACTCACTGTACCAATTTCTGGTTTTCATCTCTAAAAGTTGATGCTGTGTAAATTGAAAGGGAGTCCTCTATTCAGAATACCTTTTGATTGAGCAAATGATTGATTCAAACAAGTTCTGTTTGCAGTTAGGTAAAATGAAACAACAGTTGTTGAAAAGTGTCTAAAATTAGTTAAGTGTATGACATTTAACAGTATAATAGTAGACAAACTATTTGCTGGTGGCTAGATATTTTAGAACTTGATAGGTAAATTTTCATTTATCTGCTTTATTCAGCAGATATTGTAACCACAGGTTACCATTTATTCCAGTTTTTCAGAATTCTCTTAATGAAGAAGTTTATGTTCCCTGGAAGACTGCCAAAGATACCAAGTGCAGTTCTTTAGTGAGGGGCATATAATGTTTTTTGAGTGGATAAAATGATGAAGTAGTCTGAAATATGGCTGAAGTTAATGGAGCAATATAGTAAGTATGCTTTTCAATTTGTAATGAAAACTCAGAGTTTAGTTTGGCTTAATGTCCCTTTATTAATGTAACTGAAGAGTTTTGCCATTTTGGCTAAAACAGTGTGACATTTATACAAATCATAAGACAGGGAGATAATTGGTTGTCTTACCACACTGTCAGTTAGTTATGTACCATGCATGGTACCTACTTAGATGATCATGTATCTTTCAATACATAACTGATAAGGCAGATTTTTTTCCCACAGTAGGTTGCCATTTTTTTCTGCAGTAGACAAGTTGCCATCCAAGGCTACAGAACCCAGTCTGTCCTTCTATTTACACATAGCTGGGAGGAGAAGAAGAGGATTCATAGCTTTCCCAAGGGTATTAGCACATAAGTGACTGTAATGGATTTGAATGGAATTCAAACCAGGCTCTCTGATTCCTCAAACCAAGCCTCTATCCATTACTCTACTGTACCTCATTAAAGTAAAATAAGGGAGTATTGAAAAGTTCTCAGCCAAACCCACTTCCCAAGATCAGAACAATTGTACAAACATCTGAATTTTCTTTGTAAAATAAAATTTATCTTTACTTACATGTGTATATTAGAATAGTTGTTATTGTTTTAAAAATTTTCTTTTGTCTGGAAACACCAAATATTCAAATATTCTTACTTTAAACTGTGACCTTTGTCTTTCTGTGCAAAGTTATGTAAAATGGAAAAATAACAATAAAATAGGGATTAAAATTTAAATCTTTCTTTATATTATTATTATCATTCTATATACCATGACCTTTCAGAATGTCAGTGTTCATTGCTTTTGACAACTTCCTATCCTTTGTAGCTCTTAGTAATGTTTTGCCCTTAATTATCATTCCTATTCCTTGTTAAGCAATCCATTAATTCAAACTCTTTACATAGGTTACTGAATGTTCTTCTGTCCCTATTGCCTTCAGTATGTCCTCTGAGTGTCAAATTCTTCAATCCCACTTTCCTCATTATTTGACCAATTTAAACTCTAAGTAACTTTTTTGTTTTCATATTCCTTAAAATTTCCTTGTTGCCAAAATGCTCCATCCATGGGAAAAGCTAGGACCTGCCATGCTATGTGCACTGAGTTAACTTATCCTCAGTCCCTTTATATTCCATTGTTAAGGAGGAAGTAGTTACACTCAGGCAGCTTCTTCCTCAGACCTGTTCCATCATCATTTTTAGAGTCAACCGATCATTATCTATCCTATATATCCTCATAATATTCCATGATGCTCACTCATTGTATCCCCTTATAACAAATAACTTCATTTTTAACCATCTACCTTGAATGACTCTCAGGACTTGTGTTGGTTGAACAACAGTGAAAAAACAAACTGAATCAAACAATTTCAATCAAAGCTTTTAAACAGATACTGGTCTGTGATTCTTCCTGAAGATACTTCTAAAATCTTTAAAATACATGTTTATCTATCTATCTATCTATCTATCTATCTATCTATCGATACATACATATATATGTATACATGCAAATGAACTTGGACAATATTTTAAAGTGATTAATAGCTTTTACTTTTAAAATTTTCCTTCTCAACTGTTAACTTTCTGTAAGTGCATATTGTAAAATGATTTCCAGCAAAAAGAATTTTCCAAGATATGATTTGTGAATTGGAGACAACAAAATGGAGCCAGTATGCAAATATCTATGTAATGTTTTAACAGGGTACAAGAAATTCAACACTAAAAACCGAAAATTTGCATTGAGACATTGAAAAATATCATCCAAAAGCCAAATATTAAGAGGCAGGAGAATTTCATTAGAAACAAAGAAAAGAGTACTGAACTGTTATGTAATATCAGTCTTGCCATATAGAAGAGAATGCTAGAGAAACATGTAGATAATGACAAAGTTTTAAGCTAAATGGAAACAAAAAGGAGACTTATACTTTAAATATTTGACACTCACTAGACATATTAAAGAAAAGAGGACCAGATGAAGCAACAAATAACCTACTTAACAAGATAATTTAAGTGGTGGGGAGAACAAGGATTAGGAGAGATTGCAAAAAGACCAGACTAACTGTTGTGGTAGGATCCACCTAATTTGCATAGTGGAGTACCGACCATATAAATATGGTTGGTACCGGGAAGAGAGGGAGGAATCAAGAGATTCAACCAGAGACTCTGCCTGACTGCGACTCAGTCAACACATTCTCCTGGAACGGTCTTACCAGGAATATGCAAAAGACTATATGTAAATATTGTGTACACTTTCTTGTTTCAATACATTTTGTTCTAAGTACATTTTGTGTTGAATTATTATTCCATGCATTAGTCAAGTTTCAACACTAACTTAGAGCTACAAAGGACAAGAAGTTATGAAGAGCCATGATCACCCATGTCTTGTAGGGAGACGGCAGGAAGAAGAATGATCATCATCATCAATTTTATTAATTTTGTCATCAAAGAAGAAGAAGAAGAAGAAGGAGAAGTGAATATAACTGAAAAATAAAAAAAAAACATTTCTGAAATTTACATAAGTTAAAATGTTTCATTTTTATCAACTTAATTTCATCTACCAAATTAACTTTTCCGGCTTTTTAAAAACAGAATTTCAACTCGAAGTTCCTATTTGCCATTGAAAAAAACAAACTTCTTCATTGCTGCACTATGATTTCAACTGACTAGATAAAAAGTTTTTTACTGTTTGGATGAATCCTATAAAAAAATAAAATATAAAGATAAAAATATGTGACATCTTTCAGTTCAAATCCTTCAAACCAACACAATGTGAAAGAAAAATCAAAAGATTCGGTTGAATATTATCATGATTTCTGGTAACTTTAGAATTAAAGCAGAGGTAATGGCAGTTTATTGTGTGTGTGATATTCTTTACTTTTCTTTTGACTTTTATCCTCCTTGCACTTACGTATTCATTTGAAAACATTGATAGCTTAAAATGTTGAACAGCATTTACCTTATCTCCTCAAAGCATTTTTCTCACTCGTTCCTTGCACTACCACACTTTAGAGAATATTAAATTCCTGTTCCTTGCTTTTTGTTGAGCTGCACCCACCAGCAATGCTGCACTTTTCACTTTGGAATTTCAATAAAGAATATCATTGTTCAAGAAGAGGAAGAAGTTGAAGAATTTAAAATCAAAAAATTTTACTTTAACACTTTAAGTATTTTTTTTTTTTTTTTTTGTTATTTATATCTCCCATTTTTATCTGGAATAATATTTTTTTTCATTTTACTTGTCAGTCTTTGTTGCTATGTTATGGAATATAATCCCAAAATAGATAATCCAACCCTGGGGACTTCACTACTTAGAAGATTCTCTGTATTAATCAATCCAACATTCTTATTTTTGTAGGATTTTTTTCATCAGTTTGCTTTTTTTCCCCTCTTTTTTGTAATTCATATTTATGTTTACACATGTAAGTTTAAATATTACTTATCTCAATATATATTATATATATACAGGAGATCATTTCAACAATCAGAAAAATATCTAACATTAGGATTATATATATATATATATATATATATATATATATATATATATATATATATATATATATATATGAGGAAGAATGTATGTATATGATCAGCCCCTGCACACAAATGACCAGTCTTCAGATTATTTTGTGGGCAATGGTTTCAGTCAGAGTCAGGCTTATAGCTTTACAATACTTCTTTATATATAATATATTTATATACCTGGTGCGATGGATAAATTGTCATCTAAATTATGAAAAAATGACACCGACATTTAATTTTCACAGATATATTTACCAAACTTACAGAAAAATATCTTGAAATACAAAAGGTTAAATTTATTCAATAAAATTGTCATTGGCTTCAACCATGGCCTCCATACGATTTTGGAATCTCCTGCAACTCTTCTGAATGGTCTCCTTGTATAAGTTGGTGAATGCTGCCATAATCCTTTCCTTCAGTTCATCTTTGGTCTTACAAGGAGTTTTGTTAGTCTCTCACTCAACATTCCTCCACACATAATAATCAAGGGGATTGCAGTCTGGGGAGTTAGGTGGCCAGATGTAAGGGGTGATGTGGTTGCAGAAATGATCTGACAGCCATGACTGGGTTCTCCTGATTGTGTGGTATGGTGCAGATTTTTCCAGCAGCCACCCTCTTGACCCAGTGGAGCACTATCTCCTCAAGTGACTTGGTGTAGGCCTCCATGTTGATTCTGAGGCCCTTACCAACAGATTTGTGAATTCTTTTCTTATCAGAACAATCAGAGTGAGTTTTCCAAGCTGCCATAGCTTCGTAATCACTATTAAACTCATCCAACTCTTTCCAGATCCTTTGCACTGTCCTCAGATTGACACCCAAACAGACTGAAATGGTACTGGAGCTTCTGGCATAAATGCCAAGCAGTACAAATTTCAAATTTCCAAATTTTTAATGGAGTGAATTGCTTCATGATGATCTTTTTTCACAGATGTTGATCTACTGACCCTAACAAAACTATGCAGTTGACAAAATCAAAAATAAACAATGCACATGTACAAAATTAAAAATATAAAATCGCGACAATTTATCCATCGCGCTCGGTATAATATATTTTTTTATATAATAAAGTAAATGTCTACTTTCATTTTAAAGAGATCCTTCTTTTCCAGTGAGTCTTGCTAATACCTAACATATTATAATATTTGATATTAGCTTGTACTTCAATTTTAAATGTCAAACTAGATTATCCATATATATATATATATGCATGTATGTATATTTTTTATATATATATATATATATATATATATATATATATATTAAAAAACAGACCACTTTAAGGTTCCATGTAATAAATTATTTCACCACAGCCCTTTTAAAAGACTGCAGATCATCAGACTTTATATGATTTTTTTTTTTCTTTTTTCAACCTTTGGAAGTAAGTTCTGATGATCCACAGTCCTTTAAAAGGGCTGTGGTGAAATAATTTATTACATGGAACCTTAAAGTGGTCTGTTTTTTTTTTAATTATTTGCTCTTGATTTACATTGAGCTCTCTGGATTTTATCCTCCTTAGGTTTACCCATACAGATTACCTAGTTTTTCATAAACTAACTAATTAACTATATATATATATATATATATATATATATATATATATATATATATATATATATATATATATATATATGATTGCATGATAATTTCAACTGAGTCTTTTTTGTGGAGTGTCACTGGTTGTAGTTGATTTTGTCATTGAATACTGACTATAATTGCACAGATAGGTGTTTCTCTTGATGTCTGTCTTTTCTTTTCTGTTTCTGTTTTCTTATCTCTTTTTTTCTCATTTTTTGTTCTTTTTTGCTGTTTCCTTTGTTTATCGGTTCTCATATTTTTATTTTTAATTGTTACTTCAAGTGCCTTTGTTTGGTAGTCTTTGTGTTGTTTATCATGCTATATATTTTGAGATTCTTGAAATAAATTCAAATGTTATTGTTGCTGACTTGACATCTCAAGTTCAATCACTTTCCCATTGCTATAATGTGGCTTTCATTTGCTTTTTCTATCAATATTTTCATAGCACTTGTTTTAAGGAGCTCTCCAATCTGATATCTCAATTGCATGAAGTTAAGTATAATACTAGATTGGCAATTAGGTCTCATTTTTTGACTGTTGAAATAGCTAGATATAACAGTAAGTTTAACATTTCATTCTTCATATAACCCCAAATTAATAAGGTTAACATCTGGGTTTGATTTTATAAAACCTCTTCCCTTTAAGGCTAATACTATCCATCCTGCCCTGACCACTATCTCATGCATTTTGTCTGACTGAAACATTGAAATGGATAAATTCTGTATTAATTTTTTGATGCCTGTCACAGTTCAATTTCTAATTTCAGTAAAAAGTCAGGTTGAATAAGACTGACAAAGTTTTCGTCGGTTGAAATAGATCTATACCCCATATGAGGTCATTTTGAATTTTATGGTTTACTACTATTTATATGCTAAGTATAATACATTGAGGTTTTTTTGTGGATCAGTTTTAAAATTTTATATTACTAGGATGCACTTGGATTATATACCAATGGATTTAATGGATTTATTTATTACCTTTATATATATATATATATATATATATATATATATATATATATATATATATATATATATATATGCATGAATGTAGAGAGCAATGTACAATATAAAAAAGATATCTTACTTCACTTTTACTGTATACATGAGCTGCAGTTTCATATCCCTCACAATTTTGGGGTGGTCATCCAATCCACCAACAGTGAAAATGTGAAAACATGATATATATATATATATATATATATATATATATATATATATATATATATATATATATATATGTGTGTGTGTGTGTGTGTGTATGTATAAAATAAATTTTTGTGATCAATACACTCCTTCTTGTTGAGAGTCCTGATGAGTGATTGAAAACTATAAAACTTTGAATTGTTCCTTGATAAGTATTGAACTAAATTACTTTTAATTTATAATAATAATATATATATATATATATATATATATATATATATATATATATATATATATTTGAAAAGACTGACATAGAAGCCAACATGCTGAAAATAATGTGATATTTTGGGGTAAAATGGTGGTTCCATTATGAGTTCTGTCAAAGGAAACTAATGAATATTGGAATAGAATTGGTTTCAATGAAAATCTTTTAATGAATGTTGTTTGCAAACCTTTAAGCTGGTTGAAAAGATGCAGAGCATTGGGAAGATTTGCACAAGTAAATGATAATTTCTCAGCAGTTTTAATATTAATACTATCTTTATAACTTTGTTATTAGAGTATTCATTTGTTTTGAAAATATGTCCTTGTAAACTTTTTTGCATTATAATTTTTAATAACATTACAGTATTTCTTTGAGATTCAGTAACATGGCTAATCCTGGAAAGCTTGTAAAATCTGTTAAAATGCATAAAAGTGTTGCCACATTGTCTTATATAATATACTTTATACATATTTTGTGAAATATACTACAATTATTCAAAAACCTTCCATCATTATTCTTATAAAACTTAGAAAATATTAAAAATGACTAATAATGTGTGATGATATATATATATATATATATATATATATATATATATATATATTTATGTATATATATTCATGTGTGTGTCAGTGGTCTAAAATTAACATATATTTTACCAATTGCCATAATATCCTTCTATATCACTATATACATTCATAAGCATGTATAAATATTTACACATACATATAGACATGTGATTTATTCATATTTCTTCAGTTTCTTCCAAAGTGGAAAATATGAAATTCTTTTTGTTTTTAATTCCATGTTTTTTTTCATTCTCCATAGAAAATAATGAAATGTAAAGTACAAACTATAAACAAAAGAAAAGAAAAAATTTAGAGAAAAGCAGATGAACTCATTTCTATATTTATTTTTGTGCTTTTAATAATAATTTCTATTTTTTATTTTATTTTTCTTGGTGGGGTTTGTTTGTCACCCATTAAAATTTGCTTCAAAATCCTTTCACCTGTCAAATTTTCCATAAAATCTGAAAAACATTCTTGGCATTAGTGAGAAGAAAGGACATTTAAGGAAAATAAAAAAAGAAAGCAAAAAGATAAAAAAAAGAAAAGAAAGAAGCCCAGTAAGTAAATCTGAAAGAAAAATGAAGATTGACTAGACAAGGAAGGAAAAGATAGATTCTTTATGAAAAGAACTGCAATAAGAAAAGCAGTGAGAAAGAAAAAAGGAAAGAATACTTATGAAAAATGTAATCGCAAGTAACTAAATAAGAAGGAAAAGTGAAAAAAGAAAAGAAAAAAAGAAAAATGGTAAAGAAAGAAAAGGTAAACAAAAACTTTTATTATTCTATAGATGTAATGATGTCATTGTGCTGATTAATGAAAACACAAGGCTTAATCTTTTATAATTAAGAATACATTTTATTCAACTCCGAATTACTCTCAGCTAGTGTGTGTGTGTGTGTGTGTGTGTGTGTGTGTGTGTGTGTGTGTGTGTGTGTGTGTCCAAGGCCCACATCTGAAATGTGGATCTTACATTGTTGTCTGTGATGTCTGAGAGACTGCCCTCTTACTGTTAGGGTGGCTGTTTATATATCCATCTCTGTCATGTGACACTTTCTCAGCATGCATCCCAAGTGTAGGTGGGCCAATCATGTCGTTATGCACTCAGGGGGCAGAAGGTCATCTGTAAGGTCAAATCTTGCAAAGTCTATTCTGGTACGATTTGGCGTGAGACACATATCATTATTCATCACTGAAACATTTTATGAGAAACGTTTTCTGCAGAAATATTTCCTTGGATGACTTAAATCGTCACTTTTTGAGGAAAGATATGAAACTTTTTCTTTTCTGTTTTTTTTTTTTCATTTATTTCCCCTTTTTTTTAGTATGTTTCATCCTTCTCTTTTTCCTTTGTTGCTTGATGCTGTTTTTAAAGTTTCTCTGCTTTGCATTATTCCCTCAATGCTTTTTTATCTTCCTGCTTTCCTTTTACTCTTTCCCTTTTGCTTATTAAACTTTTATCCCGCTCTTGTTTTTGCTTTCAATATGGAATGTCCTTTTCGTGCATATTCTCTATCTTTTTTGTACTTTCTATTCTATTTCTTTTTCTTACTCTTTCCTTGTTTGCTCTCTTTTATTGCATTTACAGTTCAATCCTCATATAAATGTCTCTTGTGATTTCAATCTATAAAATTGCCATCATTTCCCTTGTCTCATTATCAAGGTATAAACATAAAATGACAGAAATTAATTTTCATTATCCTTACTCCCACTCTCCTCACTTCAATTTAACTTGTTCACACCTATTGGTTGTTACACATTGTGAACCTTATAATTTCTTTGCATCATACCAGAACACACATGCACACACACACACACACACATATACATATGTGTATATATATATATATATATATATATATATATATATATAATAGATAGATTGATAGATAAATATCACATAATTTCAGGAGATAATATTGTACATATATATATATATATATATATATATATATATATATACATATGTGGGTGTGTGTCTACATAGAGAGAATATATAGATAATATCATGTCATATTTATATATGTATATTATGTGTATTATATATGTATATGTACATATAAATATATGTGTGTGTGTATAAAATTAGAATCAGAATCCACTGGAATAAAAAAATCTATCTATCTATCTATCTATCTATCTATATATATATATATATATATATATATATATATATATATTACAATGTTATCTTATGTTTGTGTATATTTTGGCAGCATGTTTCCATTGACATGTTTTGTTGAATAATTTAGACCTGTTCTGTTTACTTATTTTCAGTTGGATCCTTTCATATTCATGGATAAGCTTTTTGGTGTCATTATTGAAGGAAGAGAAAAAAATCACCTTGTTGATACATATTTCTTCTATTCCGAGTACATTTGACATAGCACAATCTCATCATCAGGGTATTGTTTATTTGCAAGACAAATATTGTAGTGTCCATTATTGTCAAAGACAAAATTGTTGTGTGCATCTGAAAGTTAAATTTTGTCCTTGTGGAATGAAGAATGCTGAGTCAGTGTGTGATGGCTGACACCATTTAAGGGGAAGTAAATAAGTATGGTTGTGGAAAGAAACTATCTGTTGCACACATTTTAAAACATTTGTGGAGTATTTGTAATTAATTTTATTAAGGTTTGGTTTAAATTTTTTAATATAGATGGCTTCAAGAATTTTTATTTTATGCTTATTCTTTCCATAAAAAAGTGTAGAACTATTTCCAACAAGAATTTTTTTGAATTATGAATGTGGAGAGGTATGTTGTTGTAAATGTTTAAAAATGTTGGACATATTCAGATGAAAAACTAGCTGCCAAGACAACTTAGTTGTAGTATATATATATATATATATATATATATATATATGTGTGTGTGTGTGTGTGTGTGTGTGTGTATAGTCATCCACAGTGTTACACCAGCAGCAAAAATATAACACCACAAAACATCAACGTATTTATTACAACCAGATGAACAATAATTATAAGCAGAGCAAAATATGCTATAAGGAAAATCATTAAACAACATATTTCTGTTGTAACCTCCAGAAAACATAAAGTTCAGAATATAGAAAATGAAAGACTGCAAACCTCATTGTCACCAACCAAAATAACTCCACCAAATCTAAATTATAAGTGACCAATATGGTGTACCAATTCCATTGCCCAGTACAAGACAGTTTTACTTAACAAAAACCTATGACCTATATCATACACATCACTACCTCCTTAAGTAGAAGTCTTACATGCCACCTTTCAAAGCAGTATGCAATTAATAAACATTTAGTAACTCATAATATATAAGAAACTTTAACAAAAATTCTAGTGAACAGCTCAAAGATTCTTTTCAAATCACATAGCTGTACACAACTCATAACTATGGAAGCTATCAATCTAACACTATTTAGCAGTGGAGATAATATGTTAAAAGTTATGTAAAAATTCCCAGGTCAACCAGCCATTCATAGCATGTGATCACCAAAAAGTATACAATACCCACCACACATACTCCACACAGCAAAACTACTATGTAGAATCTGCACAGAGAAATTCATCATCCAAAAACAATATCCTTGATAATGGCTATAGAACTAGACAATTTCTATATTCTTTCACCACTGAAAAACAAAAAATATTAGAATGCTGAAAAACTCAATAAAAGCTTAATTCAATCTTCCTTGTTGGCAGTTTTCAATGAACAAGCTTGAAAGAAAGCTTACAACCCAAATACACATTAATTATATATATATTTATGTATATATAATAATATTTTTTTGTTTAAAAATATGATTCCTTCACTACATGAGAGTTCTCATGTTTCAAAAACGAGAGCCGAAACCATCCAAAAAATTATTAAAATTAAGTTGAATTGAGGTGTTTAGTCTCGTTTCATCTTCAAGTAAAATTTTAGGAACCTGATTCCTAAAATTTTGTTATACGGACATTTAAACAAAGACATTAACCATCAAAGATGATATGCTGTTATGTTGACATAGAAGATTCCTATGCGAATATAATGGTTGCAGAATAGCAGACACAGATCGTAAATACATGATGTGGTTCTATGATGTTGTACCACATAAGAAACCAAAATATTAACATAAGTATGATATGTCTTGATACAATATAATAGGTTGTGACTAAACTGAAATGTAATTTTGTTGAGTGTGTGTTGCTTTGTTTTAATGTAGATGACCTCCAATATCTGAAGTTTCTTTTTATTATGTGTATATGTGAGTATTGTTGTGTTATCAACTAATATCTGTTTAATATTATGTACATGGCTACGTTTTTTTCTAAGAAATGTTGTTTAATAGAACTAAGATCAGAAAGATGACAGGTAAATCTAGAGAAGAGGGTGGTTGTAGTAAAACTAATATATGTGGTGGGTTTATTATTAGTATCAGTAATACAATCTCAGAAGTGGCATGTAAATTGATACACAACATTGTTTTTTGTAATGGATTTAGTTGTTTGGTTGTAGGGTTATTAGAGACTATGATGTTAATTGTTTTAAATTTTTTATAATATATGATGAGCTTAACTTGTTTATTATTATTAATAGGTTTAACATTTCTACCTATTGAGTGTTGTTTCGTCATGTTTGTAATTATTATGCATTTGGTTAGAATAGTATAAGTCAATAGTATTATGTTTATTTTGACGTACACTATTATTATTAATATTATTAATTTTGTCAGAGGTATTATTAAGTTTATTGTGATACATTTTAATTTGTTGATCGATGACAGAATTAGGAAATCCATTATTAACAAGTGTTTGTTTAATGTTATGTAATTCTTTATAGAATATGGTTTTGGAAGAAGATATCATTTGTGTGTGTTGGATTAAGTTTTTTATAAAGACTAACTTATATCGTTGGGGGTATTTACTACTATAATTAAGAAGAAACAAGTTAATGCTTGTGAGTTTTCAATATAGAGAAGTAGTAAATTTATGTCTGATGGAATTAATAAATACATCAAAGAATGGAATTTTATTATTAATATTAAGTTCTAATGTAAATTTGAGGATGGAGTGACTTTAAAATTTGTTTTTAGATTGTGTAATTTGATCAATATTTTTAGCTAAAACGAAAATATCATCTATATCTACATATATAGGGGGTTTATTAGTGTCATTAAGTATTTTATTTTCTAAATGTGCCATATAATAATTAGAAAAAAGGAGGCCTAAAGGTGATCCCATTGCTATATTTGAGTATAAATATTACTAAGGGGGTGATGAAAAAGTACTTCAGTGCTACATGCTAATAATCATTTTTTTTAAAATAGTGTGTTTAATATTGATGGGTGGGAGAGAAGTATGATTGTATACATAGCGGATAATGATGTCAATTGTTTCATGGATGGGGACATTAGTAAATAAATTTTATACATTGGAAGATGCTATTATTAGATTGTTTTCTTTTACAGAATGAAGAATTTGCATAAATTCATTTGTGGAATTCATACAATATTTACTTGGGAGGTAGGGAGTAATTAATATGTTAAGGGTTTTTGAACTCCCTACAACATCAATTTCATGTTAGGTACACATTTCAACCAACTGTGATATGAAAATTGTAACATTAGATGCATCCTGATAATAATATTGGTAATAATTTCTTAGCAATAATCTCCATTATATAATAATCTTGCTAAAATATTAAACTCTTGATCATTATCATTATGTAATAGTAATCTCTTACTTATAATTTTGGTACAATATTAATCTCCTGTTAATAATCTTGGTAATAAATCCTTACTAATAATATTTTTTATTTATTAATCTCTTGCTAATAATATTGGTTAATTATTAATCCCTTGCTAATAATCTTGATAATATATTTATCTCGAACTAATAATATTATTAATAAGTTCTTAGAAATGATCTTCATTATGTAATAATCTATTGATAATAATCTTGGTAATATATTAACTTCTTGATCATAATCTTGTAATATATTAATCTGTTGCTTATAATCTTGGTACAATGTTAATCTCCTGTTAATAATCTTGGTAATATATTAACATCTTTCTAATAATCTTGGTGATATATTAATCTTTTGTGAATAATCTTGATAATATATTAATCTTGTGCTAATTATAATATATTAATGTTTTAAATGATTGAACAAATGTTTTTCTGTTATAGACAAAAAGGTGAAAAACATTTTTAACTTTATTCTTTCACCATTTAGTCACTAGCTGCTTACTGACTCTCCACAAACCTAGGAACTTTCTTTATAAAGCTTCTTGGATTGTCATTTTGAGAGTTTTTGTGTCATAATAAAATTTTCAGTTGGATATATTAACCACTGTGCCAGCACCTGGGGAAACAAGCAGACTGTGTAAAGGATTCACTGTAACACCTTTGATTTGTTGGAGAGAAATAACAGATTTAAAATTTGATTTAAAATGCCAAGATTTGATTGTTGATCATTTTTTCCCTATAATTATGATTTTTAATTCAGTCAAAACTTACAAATTGATCTAAATTTGTTGAGGTGCTAATTACTTGAAATAATTCATTTTCTTTTCATTTTTTTCTTTTCCAATTAAGTAGACACAGGAGAGAGAAGGAAAAAAAAATCCAAAACCCATTGCCTTGTACAATCCTC